AGTCCATATCATATGGCGTCATGCTCAGGATATAACTGGGGGGGGTGGGTGTGGTCAGGGGGCAGTGATCGCTGCTCGGGGACTGGCTGGGCATCGGTCAGCAGGTGGTGAGTAATTGCATTGTGCGTCACTTGTTTTGTATATTCTTTTATCATCATTATTATTATTACTTTTTCTTCCTCTGCTGTTATATTAAACTGCCTTTATCCCAGCCCATGGGTTTTACTTTTTTCCCCGATTCTCTCCCCCATCCCACCAGGGGCAGGGAGAGGGTGAGCAAGCGGCTGTGTGGTGCTTAGTGGCTGGCTGGGGTCAAACCATGACACTCACCTTTCTACCTACCTTCTCAAGTTTTATTTATGATCCTTGTTTTGCCTTAATTTTGTTTTATGCAGGAAGCACTGGATTGGCAACAATCAATTTCCACAGGATCTCTGGATTTACTCCAGTTATTCTCTCCTTTCTTCTTTCCGGTTGGAGAACCTGAGTACTGCCACCTCCCTGCAGCTGACACGAGGGTGACCTCCACTCAGACTGCATCGTGCAGCTGTTTTTTCTGCCTAAGTTCATGGTTGTTGTTCACATTAAGTACAGCAATTTCGACCTTTATACTAATACGCCAAATCACAGCTTGGATAATTGGGGTTTGTGTAAAGGATCTTAATAGCAAAGTTTTCCCCTATAGACATCCAACTGTGACTTTAGTCCTGTATGTTTAGCAGGAGTTCAGCAACCGACTCATAGAGGACCAAAGTCTTATTGGTACAGCCATGGGATACTACTCTCCGCTAATCTGCGCACTTTTCTGCATAGATTTTTCCTTTGGTTTAGAGCATTTTAGACATAGACTCTAGAGAGTACCCATCGCAGACAGAATTAGCTTTGGAAACAGAAAAAAAAAAAAAAAGCAAAGACCTGGAGTACATTCAACGACTTCCCCCTTGTACCCAGTTTCTTCCTCCAACTCTCGCAATGCTGCACTTTCTGCAGTCTCATTTTCCTCAATGAGTCCTGTGAGATAAATAATACACAAGAACAATTAAAAGTTAGCACTTAACCGCAATACCCATCCCGAGATCTAATCCAGCTTTACAAATGGGGTGAAACACTGTCACTACCCTATGTTTACAGAGGGATAAACTGAGGCATTAGGAAGGATTCCAGTTCCAGGATTCATCGTGCTGCTGCCCATGTCTTCAGCTGATTACCGACAGGAGCATGCTACCTTCCCAGGAAGTGGCATTAACGTTCTCATGAGGGAAAGAAGCGAAATGCTTCGGCTCTTACAGAAAGGAGGAGTGGAGGGGAATGCAATATTTTACTAGCAGACTACTGTGCAAAATGCCTCCAATCTGCTAAAATGAACTATGTTTATTTTGTATTCTTCATTATCAAATATTCCCATTTTTGAATAGCACACTGAGCTACAGAGCTCACCACAATCTTCTGGTTAGAGCTACTTCATTAAGATTGATGCTCCAAGTACAGCTAAACATGCTTAACTGTCAGCTTTACGTGACTCAATGTTTCAGTCACTTACCTGCAGGAAATTCCAAGCAATAGCCGTTAATTGGGGGCCTGAACTGTTTCACTAGGACAACGCAGTCGTAGTGGAGAGTTCTCTGTAGTACAGCTATCACGGCTACACCTACAAATAGTGACGGAAGACACAAGTACATAGTGTTTGAGCATAGCAGAAAGTGAGTATTTAGTGCTAGATCTGGAAAGGAACCCAAGCGCTATTACTCTGAGCATTAAACGTTTAGATGCTGGCTCCAGAATCCTGAACTATGGATTTAAGCTCCTTATATCACGCGTGGTGAGAGAAAAAAAAACCCAAATGGGATCTTCAGAGTACCCCAGGAAATGAGAGGCACACATAGCAAGCAAGACTGAATCTTAGCCCACCAATATCTAGGGAAGGGTTCTCTTGCCTGCAGAGACTGTTGGGAAGCCGCTGTATGGAGCCCCCTCCTACACTCCTTCCACGGCTAAATCACCTCCCTCTTTTGCCCAAAGAGAGCTGTATCCCTAGCCCCTAACAGCAGACCCTCTTCACCAGTCTGTGAGCTACTCTGTATCAGGGCATCCATCGTGTCTTTGAAATCGCTCCATTGCTCTAAAGTGAATACAATGATCTTGGGAAAACTCTCCTACCAGTGAAGTTCTGATTCTTCAGCACTTAAGTTAGCATTTCATAGCTCAGGGGTATAGCAAGCTCTACTGAGCTATTTGTTCCGTATCCTCATTCATTCAGAAATATACTGGCTCCCACTCTGCACCGTGAGTTTATCTGAAGAACTTTCACAGGAAGAAATGCAAACAACAAAAGTCACCAATGTCTTACCATCAGCTGAAACACCCTTTTTGTTGCCAGTACGCTTTACCGTTTCCCAAGTTCTGTTTAACACAGAGAAAAGAACAAATGAATACATGAAAATAAACAATATCCATTTTATTTGTAAGTCGTCTTCTACCCTTGCTACTGTCATTTAAAAGCAAAATATACCATCACACAGTGAGGCCCCATAAGAAAACAGCTGGCCTTAGGCAAGCCCTGTCATGTACTGGCACTATAAAATGTCTGTAGTACAATTTTGGTTTGCCTACTTAAAGGAGGGATAGACAAAGACATAAATGATTGTCAAAAACCAGGCAAGTCTTATAAAAGTGATCCTGGAAAAGTGCAAAATAAAGCAATTTACATACTAAACATGTCAGATTTTGAAAGACAGTTTTGTAAAATGACCACATGCATTCTGTCTTCCATCTTGCTTTTGCATAAGGTTTACAGTGTAAGTTATTGTGAACCCTCAGCTCAGTTACTTGAGCACAGGAGGAGCACAGAGGCAAGGAAGACCAAAGCTTCTCTCTCAAAATAAGCAACGGGATGAGTAAAAACCAAAAACCCACCAGCAATAAAAATCCTTTCACAAAAGCTCCAATCTTTGCTATTTTTTAAAAGGCTACTTTGCTGATGAGCTGGGAGGCACTAGAGAAAGCAATCAGTACAGAATCCAATACATTGAGAGGAGGGAAGTAAAGCCGTGTTGTCACATCTAGGTAAATACAGCAAAACGAAAGCACAGAAAAGAACTGGACAGGTGTGATAATATACAACAGGACAGTAACTTGTCAGTAGTATGCAAGATCCAGCACCATCAGCAGGGAAAAAGAAACCCTTAATGAAGAAGCAGAAAAGCCACGGGATGGACTCTCTGAACATCACAGTCTATTTGCATAGCTAGAACTTGCTTCTGCACAGCGTCTTTACAAGGAACAGAAAATGCAAGGTAAACCGGGCTCCAATGCGCCTAAAAGAATTTAGGAGCCAAATTTGATCCCACATGCTAGCGCATCTGCAAGAGTAAGATTTTTTTTCTCTGAACAGTACAAACTATAAAGGAATTGCACAATGAATAGACTTCATCTTGTGTTGAGTAATAGGTTTGTAATGCTCATATTCTTTCGCGTGGGGCTAGTCCGTGCAACTGGGAACATCACAGGAATCTGAAATGCCAGAAAGGCAATTACCTGGTTTTACCAAAGGGATCAGTGTAAGTTGTTTCTTCAAGCTTCAACCATTTTCTTTCTACAATTACCTAAAATAAAGAATTCTTTGTTAAATACATTATAAGATTAATCCCAAAGATATTTGGGGGCTAAGGGGAGAAACAACACAACTATTTTTGGAGTCTTTTGAAGACAAAATCTCAGCATCAGAATACATGCAGGAACATGCAAAAACACTCCTGTAGCTATTACAGGAAAAAAAAAAAAACAACCCAAACATTTACTCCAAGTTCTTGAACCGGAATAGAAAATAAGCCCAGTCACTTTTCTTAACGTGACTTTTATAACCATGTTTCAATGAATTCAGTTGGATTTTATGTACCAGAAAGTCCTCATCTTTTTAGAAGGATTTTGCAAAGCTCATGTTTCAGCTGAAAAAGAAAAAGGGTCACTGGTCTGCACAGACTTTAGCTGTGCTGGCAATTGTACGTGTCCACTTATCAGAGAGCACGGCCTAATCACCAAGCATGCAAGACTGAATTCCGAACTATTTTGAAACTTTTCTTGCCACGATCTCAGACTGTGGCCTTGTGTAACCACTGTTTTCTGTAACTGTGAGCAGTGATACATGCCTGCCCTTTTAGGATTTCTGAGAGCCGTTGATTGAGTGCTTGGCATTATTACAAAATGTATTTTCTGAGCTAAATGAGTTTATTTGCCCTGTGATGTTTCCTCATCTTTTATGTAATTCCTTCCACAGGGAAAAATCCCTAGGTATGAGCCCAGCAGTTTACTACTTTTAATGCAACTTGTATTTTAAGCTTTGCTAAAGGTATAGGCAGACAAGAAGCTTGTCTCCAGAATTTTCTATCAAGTTGGCCATAGGTCTGACCCCAGAAATCACAAGTAATCAGTAAGATGAACAAATCAGTTCCTATTGTCTAATGAGACACACTGCTGACAGCAAGGGAGGAAGCATAAGCAAAGGGAAAAGAGGATCTGGGAAAAAACCCACAACATCAAATTGTAGCAAAGGATGAAGTCCGAGAGGCCATTCATGTGGCTGGCACACTGCAGTCCTCTAGTGCAGGACAAGGAGCAAATAGGGCCCTTGTGGCCGTGCAGATCTTGAACTTAAAACTGAGAGATTCACCAACTAAAAAAAGAATATAGAGAAATGAAATGTAGTATATGATGCAGCTATAACTAGAGTACAGAAGCACAGTACAGCATCAGCTGGAGGCAGAAGGCAAATCAGAAGTGATTCAGGTGTCCAGTAAATTATAACTGAGCTGGAGGAACTCATGTAATTCTTACAACATGTTCTTCAGAAGAATTATTTTGATAGGCAATTGAAATAACAATAGCACTCCTACGGTTGTAAACGTGGCTACAAGTATTTTACATGTAGGAATTCTGGTATTGATTTTGGAAAGTATAATATTCCCACGTAACAGGAACTGGAAAAGGAGAGCTACATGTTCTCAAAAGGGCCTTCAAATGGCTTTGTGGTCACAAAAACAGCAGGAAAGGAGATGAGGTATATTATGTTCATTACAGGTACAAGAAGTAATTCGATTTGAAAGCATTCAGGGTATATTTTAAATAGCTTTGCATTCACTCCTAAATCACTGCAGAACTAAAGTACAGGAAGATCCAAGAGAGAAACAGAAAAAAAATCAAGTTCCATTGGTTGTCCAAGGAGAAGAATATATATACCTCAGCTCAGTAAACACAGCTAAATGTTTTGTGTTAATGAATTTTTTTAAACACTGCAGAGAACACAAAGGACTAGATTATTGATCATGGTCCCATATTGCTGCAGCATTCAACAGAACTGGCAGATCATTACCCCTTGTCACCAAGTTATCGTTTGCTAAGCAGAAGGGGGGAAATGGCTGAAATCAGAACCACATCACTGTCCCCAGGAATCTTAGAGGAAAAAGATATCCCCAGTCTGTAAGAAATTAGACCTATCCAAGCTCCAAAAAGAAGGGGGGAAAAAAAAAAAAAAAAAGAAAGAAAAACTTAGGTTTTCTGTGTACAAAACAAACATCAAACAAAGTGTCTTGTTTTTAATCAGATATCCTTAAGTACAGCTTTGGCCTCTACTGTCATGGAGCAATAATTAAAAAGTACTATAGGACATGTAGCATAAATATTTACAATGGAAGTGTTCCACCATCCTCTAAAGTTTGGTGAAACTCTTTATGCTAACAGCCTACAGGGTGAGGAAACTGGAAGTTGCCAGGTTTCCCTAGAAGAAAAAGAGAATTTTGTCACCTGCCTCGTCGGGTGCACAATTAAAACCTGCGGAAGCTGGCCCAGAAGCATAACTTCTGGTTTGCTAAATCCCCTATTTAGGGCCTAATGACACTTTGAGGATGTGTTGCACTTACCATAGTCAGTTTTAGAATGAGTTATTTTTATTGCTTTATTATCTATTACTTTGATGGGCTAATAACATCTGCTTTTGCTTACAACAGCCTGACTGTGGGTTCCCAGAAACAGGAAGAAGGAAATAAGCTCAGCTGCTACTTTCATGGAAGAAAATATTCCAGCATCAGACCACATAGTTACTAAAGTGTTACAGAGCCACTTTTAATATATGGGCCAGTGGCAAAGGCACAGTAACTACTCTCCCATATTAATCCCACGAAATGACTGAAAAAACTAAATAGCTTAAAATATGTAAGATCTAATTACAAACTTCCAATGACACTGAAGAGTACAATATTCCAAAGGACAAGAACTAAGAGGCATTGGGGGTAAGGGGGAGGATAAAATGAAAACGTTACCTGCAAAAACACAGGTCTTAGCAGACAACCCAAAAAGCTCAAAAATTAAACCCTTTATGCTGGAGAAATAGTCATATTAAAAACCTCCCAAGGGGAAAAGCCATAAATATATCCCAACAATGTGAGTCTCTTCTTTCCTGAAAAAGTTTCGTACCTTGAAACCTAAAGAAATTACAAGACTGTTTTCAGTCCAAGGAAGGAACGCGGGATAAAAGAAACTACATTTGTGTTAAACCTGCCTTTAACACCAAAGATTAACTTTTAAGAATTCACTTAAAAGAGAACAGAAACAAATATAGGCAGTTTAAATTAGGGTGAAAATAATCCTAATAAGCACCCAGAAGTATCTTCAAATTCCTTCCTCAGTACGTGATATTTTCTGATCCTGTGAAGATGCGAGCACAATATTTTTTAAAAAAAAATCTTACTACCTCCTTACTAATGTCTTTAGAACAGCAATTATCTAAATTCAAACCCTTTCAGAAAGCATCAAAGAAGGTACAGTCCTAAATGTTAAGGCAACTCTTAGTGGTTCATCATCTTAAAGGAACAGAAACAAGGCTGAGTTTCATGATCAACCGATTTGTATAGTGTCTCAGAGGTATCAGCATTACTTCTGAACATTGGAAACGGCCTGAACAGACAATACAAGAAACAGCTGCAAAATCAAAAAAAAGGAAGCTTAAAATAATGCAACACTGTAGATTTCTCTCTCCCCATTGATCATTTGTATGATTATTTCAACAAAGAGAAACACCACCTGTTTTAAACTCTCTGACCATCAGGAAGAAGCATTTTGTCTATTGAACAGATTTTGCAAACATAGAGGGTCTATAGCATTTCTTACTCTGCACTCACAAACATTTTGGTCAGTCTCAAATAATTGTTATTTAACAACAAAACATGTGTCAAACCCAAGCATGTTATACCTCTTCTTTAAGGACGAACTGTCTAGCAGGTTTTGGAACGTCTGTGGATGTCTCAGCTGCCATTTTCAGGAATGTCAGGCTTTTCCCCTCCTGTGCAAAGTCCAGATTACTACGAAACAAAGTCAATATTTGCTTTCAGAGTAAAGTTAAAAGGTTCATTTCTGCACTCTAAATTAACAAATAAGACTTGCTGGAGAAAGTTAGGGACATGTGATGGCAAGTGCAATTCACATTTTCAGCTCCGCCTGATGGTTTCAGACAAACAATTCAAAGGAGAAGCGGAAGTTTGGGTCAACTCCCCGACTTACGTAGTTGTAACAGTCCTATCAGCTGCCAAGTAACTATGCTGGCTGAGGATACCCTCCTTAACCATTCAAAGGTCAGACACACACACAGACAAAACTGATCCGTTTCAGTCAAACTGTTTCATTCTCATCTGGGTGAAATGCTCTGTCAACACAGCATTACCACAACAGGACTATGCACTCCACTGTGAAAGTGGAAAAAAACCTTATACCAAGAGGACTTCAGTAGTAAAAATTGTCTGCTATTGAGAAAGAATCAGAACTAGCACCTACCTCCACCTTACACACATCACAAATAAACAGATAAATGACTCAATTCTTCCCCCCAAAAACAAGGTCAAAAAGTCACCCACATGTTGCAAGTCTAGGTGGCACGTGGAGCTAGCGTGACCAAAGCACATCAGTCTCTCGTGCTGGGAATCACGTGGCTAACACCGTGCAAAAGGCAGTTGAGTATTGCCCAAAGCAAGGCTCTGCACCTGCAGCTCAATGCCTCAGCCTGCGTCCTAACGCTCCCTAGCAAGGTAAGATTGTCCACTCACTCTCAGTCCAGTTCTAGCTGAAAGGCACACAAAGCAGCAGAAAAATACGATGCATTAGAGATTCACCATTAGTCCCCTGTCTTGCTGCAGAGCTACAGGGCACTTTCAGCACAGAAACTATTATTCCAAGGAAGCTCATCTCTGATATTAAGTTGTAATACTGAAAATCAGCATGAATTATAAGCAAAAAGACAAAGCAAAGAAACAAACCAGTTTAAACACCAGGAGAGACGAGAGAATCTTAAAGATCTCTATCGTTCTTAGCGTTGATTGTCATAAACTTTCCATAAAGTCAACAGGAATATTTCCCTTGACTTCAGCTAGGGTTCAACAAGGCTCTGTGGGGTTTCTAGCAATGAACAGTACCAGAAGTGAGTGATGACCTTCTCTGTCATACCCAATTTTAGCACTTTTATTTTTTACTTCATCTTTATCCTTTTATGATAACATCTACAGCACATCTGTGAAACATTTAAGAGCATGGAGCAACAATCAGCTTTCTTACATATTAGATCTGCATTTAACTCCACAAAGTAGCTAAAAGGAATAGGTAGTACAAAATATTTCTGGCTATCAGCAGGGTTAAAACTAACGTACATAAATCCATTTCCTTGGTATGTACACAGGGCAGGCTCTTCCTTAAGACAGTCTTGTTGGATGAAGCAGGTCATAGTGGTCAAACGTTCAGATTGTTTTTATGTAACATAAATCCTGAAAAGGAACCCTGACTTATTAAACCCAATTCTGTTCTTTCAAAAATATGTTCTGTAATCCTTTCTTAAAGCAATGAAGCTCCGTCTTAGAACTATGTAGGTTTACTATCTACCTTGCCACTATTTGTATGCAAAACTGTTCTAGAACCTCACTTGCTTATCTTCCAGTTTCTATCCCATGTTAGCTCAGTTAGCCATCACCCATTTGTTCTTGAGCCAGCAATGTTTCAAACTCTCTTCACTTAGGATTTAAGAGCTGTAGCTGGACAATGGCCATGGTCTCTTGCTGTGACTCTAAAATACAAGATCAAGCTTTCCACCAAACTTATGCAAAAGAAGTGCTGTCAGACAGCAGTTCCAAGAGGTTCCTGGTCATCCAGAGGAAACAGTCAAAGGAGGCTCTGTGTGATGCCTGAAGCGTACAGCTTTAAAGTTTTAAAAATATAAAAACCTCACACACCTAGCTACCACAAACTCGCCTCCTATGTTTGGAATGAATTGTAGCCTTTTTAACTGACAATATAAACATATCAAGAGAGCAGACAGTGAACCATATCCTTGTTAAACTTTTTTTTGATTGGGCTGAGTAAGTCTTCCTCTTTTAGTCCCTCTCACAGGAAATCCTGTTCTGTTGATCACACTAATCCTTCACATAAGCTTGCAATTATCAATGTATCTTTCTCAAATGCAGATTACCACAATAGTACCCTAAATCCCACAAGCACCTATAGTAATGGTTTGTACAACAGTATTAATACTTACCTATATCAGTTACAAATACGTATTAGAACCTCATCTCATGACAGAACCTTTTCAACACTGCTTGCTCTCTTCTGCAGCAGAGAGATTCAAGGGTGGCTTGCGACTTAAAATAAAAAAGTATACAGCTTCAGTGGTTTGAATTATCACTAAAATCTAAAATAGGTGAAAATGAGAGGAAGACTCATCTCAGCTTCTGTAGTTTTGATCTCCTCCACAAGTGGGTGCAATGACTCTACATATGAGTGACATTTTAAAAAGTTCCACCAAAAAAGTAATTTTTTCCAAATTCAGCTGACTGTCTAAAAGTGAGAATTTCTGCTGTTAGAAAGCTGAAATACCATTTAGTTAAATGAAGGCTGCAATTCTGGTACCTCGCATTAGTTATACTGTTAAGGACAGCTACACCTTTTGTTCATAAACAAAATTACCTGCAGCTGAAAATGAAAATTAATGCTACAATGTTACGTTTCTAAAGCCCTATATTAGGTTTCAGAATAGGTCTTGTCCTGTCAGACAGGAAGGTTACTCTATCTCATAAAATTACCACTACATCATTTGAATTAAAAATGCAACATAGCTCACACAGCAGCCCGGGAACCTGACGTACGATTACATGAACTCTATGAATACAAATTTTTAACAGTTATCAGTGCAATTTTAAGAATATGTCCAAGTGTCCACATTTATCAGTCTTCTTAGCACAAATCAACAGCACTTGAACTGTAAATTATTGGAAAAAAAAATGTTTGGCCCACTTCTACCTTCTCTGATGATTTCTGTGGCTAGCGTTACAGGCTACTGCCGGCAAACAACGCTACTTGTTGCATTTCTTTCATGTGGGGGTCAAACTACGACCTGAAACAGGTGTACCATTTATAAAACTTTATTCCCATTGCTTATTCCCTCATTAAGCGGCTTCCTTTCAAGGCAATGACCAACCATTCTACAGCTTCCAAATTATCCTTCCCAGGAGTTAAAATCTTAAGCCAACTGAGGCCTGTGAATCAGCTTAGAGAGCAGCCAAGCTATTGGGGCTTTACATTAACCTATCCAAGTCACGACAGATGGATCAGCTTTTCTAAATCACTTTTCAGAAGATAATCTCTGATCCAAATTACACATCCCAGCTGACAGCAACCAGACAGAATGGAAGCTCAGCAATGGTGTCCTAAGGCAAGCTCAAGGTAAAACAAAATACAGGGTTTCTTACAAAGAATGTGCAAAAGGGACACCGGCAGATTTAACCAACAGTATGCCGAGATACATGCGCGGCAGATGAACATCACTAAAAGTCACTTTAAGCTTGTTACCATCAGTCAGTGCACTTGCATTTCAGCAATATGATTCTAGCAACAAAATCAATTAATTAGCAGAAGTTGACGGGAGAGAGAGAGAAGGAAAAAGCGGGGAAAATGTTTCATTTTTGTCATGGTATTTAGCAGCGGGGATGACCTACTCAGCACCAAATAAAATACGGAAAAATAACTGGTTCTCGCCCTGCAGAACAGACAACAAAGACGATCCTGCATAAGCTGAAGAGGGTTAGCGGCACCCCCATGTTGTTATCATCCTCCCAGACAGCTGATGTGTGAGAGGGCGTGGGGCAGCCTCGAAAAGCAGATGCGAGAGCACCTGAGGAAAGCGTCGGACGGGAACGACTCGGCCCCGCACGCAGGGGACAGGATGACGGCAAAACCACGGCGCTTAAGAGGAACATACTATTCAGTTACTACTTGGCGCTCCCCAAAACACAGTGAAATGCGGCCCCGTCGCGGTAGAGCTCCGTTACAAGGCTGGAGAGATGAGACCTTACGCGAGCACCCGCAAAGCAAGAAAGCCAAGCCTGCCAGGCGGGGAAAGCACGCGCAGCTTCC